TCTGGGTGGGGGTTGGAGGAGATGATCTCCAGAGGTCCCTTCCAACCCCATATCATTCTGGAATTGTATGAACCTCTCTGGTTTTGAACTTTGTCAACCTGAATTGCTACAGAATTGCTATTTCTTAAAGCCTGTCTCCTTTCATAAGGATTAAATGTGGATATTTGGTGAAGAACATCTCCTTGCTTTGCAGTTGAAGACTTTTGTTCTTCCGTGTGTGCCTGCAATGGGGAATTACCATCTTTCTGAAAGTAGTGGGAGTTGCGTGACTACGGTGGAAGCCTGACTTGCTGCTCATAAATCTTTCCTGAGAAGATTATTCACTTCTAGAGTTCAGTGGAGCTCCATCTTGTGTTTTGAAGACTCTTTAAATTATTAGTCTGACTTCAGTGCTTTCCTTCTCCTCCTGGGAGATGCTCTATTCAAAAGCCTAGAATTAAATCTAAAAACAGCCTCTTTCAGTTTTATCCGAGGTGCCTCATGCGAGTGTGGGAACAGGAGTGTGATGCTTAACTACAATTCATTAAGTATTTGGCAATGGTACCCCTGAAGGAAAAAACTCCACCATATATTCTAGAATAAATTTTTAGAATCATAGAATGGTTTGGGTTGGAAGGGACCTTAAAGATCAAGTTCCAAGCCCCTGCCCTGGGCAGGGACACCTCCCACCACACCACGTTGCTCCAAGCCCCTTCCAACCTGCCCTTGAACCCCTCCAGGGATGGGGCAGCCACAGCTTCTCTGGCCAACCTGGACCAGGCTCTCACTCTTATTTTGGGCTCTGGGTGAGTTCAATTTTGGGGAGGAGCCAAGACAGGGGCTGGTGGCTCTAGAGGTGGTTTCCCTCGTTGGAGGTGTCGGAGTTAATTTGCTGCCAGCGTTGTTCCTCCGGGGAAGGAAGGAGTTGGGGTGAACATCTGAGCTGCCTTAATCTGGGTTTGGTGGCCACTGGGTCTATGTAGCTCGGGGTTTACAATGAGACTTTGTGTTTGAAGCCGTGGCATTCGACGACATGATCCTGCTTTGCCCGGGGAAGGCTGGAGCCGCCACGTGGGCCGCCCCCCTCGGCTCTTCCAGCCAGGGTTTGCCATGGAGAGCTATTGAAAGGAAGCCGTTTATCTAGAGATTTGGGGAGAAAGTATGAAAGGTGAGAGGCAACAGGAAACTAAAAGATCGAGTGGCTCTTTCTCCCGCGATATGGGAAAGAGTCCTCTGAATTTCGGGGTGAGAAGAGTGTTTCGAGAAGGCTGAGGGAGCCCGTAAGGGTGTCTGATACCATGAACGGCACATTCTTTCTCTTACAAAACTTAATTGCACTGAAGGACATTCCATTTCGCTGGGGTAAGGGTGATAATCCTGGAGGTTTGCTCTGATTTTTCTCTTTGGTGGTACGGCAACCTAAAAGCAGATGGAGACAAGCCCTGTTCATACAGAAAAAATTAAATCATTGGGACTAGAGATTCTCTAATTGTGATAATTTTGTGGGGTGAATGTGGGGGGGAATCCCTGCCTTGCTCCTGTCGGGCACCCAAGGTAAGCTCTGTGTTTTCTCCGGGACCAAGGAGAGGCAGTGGTTTACTCCGTTCTGGAAACAGACAGGGACAAGGAGTTGCTACTTAAAGAACATTGAAAATGATTAAAAAAAAAAAAAAGGCAGAAATGAATTGTTAATGTTTGCCCTGAAATATGTATGTGCTTTTTGGGACACTCAGAATGACTTGCATGATAGATGGGGAGGGTTTGGTGAACTCTCAGGTGAGAAAGAAACAGCAGTTGGGAGACTGGGGGGAGAATAGTTTAGGGTATTAATGGGATGCAGGCAATTAATTTAGGGGCAAAACCAACCCCATCTGTGTAGAAAACTGGGTGAAGTTAGAGAAGCCATCGACACATTTAGTAATGAAAGCCCAAGGAGCTCAGGAAGCAGAAGAGCTGAGGAACAAGAACTACTGGTGTGGGATGTGGAACTGGCTCCTATGGGGGCAGCAAACCCGCCGGGACGGTCCGCACACCAGGCAGGACCTGTTTTCTGATAGCGTGGGCAAGATAAAACCAGGAGTGGGTGTGGAGTGGGATGTAAATGAAATTATAAACTGCTTTTCCTCTGCCGTGTTGCTCTTCGGTGTCGCTCGCATAAAGATTGTGTTGGGGAGAAATGAAGTCGCCAACTTGGAATCAGGGTTGCAAGGTATGGACAGGTATCTCTTAACAGTAACGTAATTCCCAGTAATATTTTTCCAAACTGGAAACCATTTATGTCAGTTTGGGGTAAGAAAGACAGATTATGTAGCATTTCTGCTCGTCAGTCCAGAACACCCAGTACTTTAGGAAAAAGCAGCCTGTGGATAGTTAAGGCCACCTTGGGTAGTACAGGAGTTCTTTCCTTCGGGGTTTATTTAAGGGGCAAATGGAGATGCAGATTTATCAAAGGAAGAAATATTTTTGCCCAGACTGAGAAATATGGAAGGTTTTATTTAGCTGGGGTCAGACCTGTGGTTGATACAGCACTATTTGGAGTTACAACAGCCAGCGCTAAAAAAAAAAGGCTAATTCTTAATTTTCTTTAATGTTCTGCTGCAAAATATAAAAATAGGGGGTTTTCTCCCTTTTTTTTTTTCTTAGCAAGTAGGATAAAGCTCGGTGCTTTCAATGCAAAGAGATATCTTGTTGGGAGAGTGTAATAATAACCTGGTGGGTCATAGCAACTGAGGTGGGATGAGGTTTCTTGGGGCAGACTGTGGGGCTGGATGCCTTGGGATGGGATCTGGGTGTTTGTGAGTGGGAGGTAGCCCCGATTTATCACAGGGTGGCTGGACTGCAAACAAAATGATGTGGAAAAATAAAATGTGGGTTTCTGATGTGCATTAGCAGTTTGCTGCTGTTGGGCAGGGGAGCATTAGTGTTGTCTCACAAACAGGAGCTCATCAGGACACTTGTGCATCTGAAACATGCACGAGGGATTTCTCCATTCCTTATTTAACTCGGTGACTCCCCTGTTCCCTTCAGGAGTTGAAAGGACTTTCAGAGGGTTTTTCTCCCTCCTGAGAAAGCTGAAATGATCACTGCCTTGAAGTTCAGTAATTAGTAACTAATTACACTTACCAAAGCTGAAATGATACTCTTTTTCACGGGCTGTTTTCTCATTTAACTGAAAGATTTCACTCCTGTGTAATGTGAAATGTAGGGATAGGAGCGAGCGTTGGGGTTTCTCTTTGACTTTGCACTAATAACGGGGTTGTGAGCTGGGAGTTTGTGAGACTGGCTCCATGACTTGCCGTGGTGAGGAACAACCTGGATACTTCTCCACATGGATTAAAATGTCTCCCTGATGCTGACTGTGCAGCTTAGTTTATATTCTTTCCTGTGGAGTGCTGCCTGGAGAATATAAGGGGAATTATTTTGGTAGATAAGCTTTTTTTTCAATCATAGAAGGTTTGGGTGAGAAGAGACATTAAAGCCCACCCAGTGCCACCCCCTGCCCTGGGCAGGGACACCTCCCACCACACCAGGTTGCTCCAAGCCCCCTCCAACCTGCCCTTGAACCCCTCCAGGGATGGGGCAGCCACAGCTTCTCTGGGCAACCTGGGCCAGGCTCTCACCCCCCTCCCACCAAACAAGTTCTTCCCCACAGCTCAGCTCCATCTCCCCTCTTGCAGGGTCAAACCCTTCCCCCTCCTCCTAGGGCTCCCCTCCCTGATCCAGAGTCCCTCCCCATCTCTCCTGGAGCCCCTTGAGGGACTGGAAGGGGCTCCAAGGTCTCTCCGGAGCCTTCTCTTCTCCAGGCTGAACCCCCCCAACTCTCTCAGCCCCCCCTCCCAGCAGAGGGGCTCCAGCCCTCCCAGCATCTCCATGGCCACCTCTGTTCCTGCTCCAACAGCTCCATGTCCTTCCTTTGTTGAGGACCCCAAAGATGGACACAGTGCTCCTGGTGGGGTCTCACAAGAGCAGAGCAGAGGGGTAATAATGACCAAAGTGTAAAATATTGTATAGAAAACAATTGGGACATGACACTTTGTAGATGGGGAGATGGTTCCCTGGTAGAATTGAATTGTTCAGGTTGGAAGAGACCTTTCAAATCATCGAGTCCAAAAAAGCTGGTGGGTACAGCTTCACCGAAGTCGTGGAAAACATACAGAAAACAGGTGTGCACCTGAAATACAGCCTCTGCGTTCTTTTTTTTCTTATCCCTTTTTGTATTTAAATCTGGATCTCCTTAAAATATTACCCCAAGTATCATTTATGTAATCCGTAGAAGAACACAGCACGTGCTTTCTGAGTTGAGCAATGCGTCTGGCAATACCTGTCGGTTTGGCCTTGTGAATGTATTAATAACAGGGTGAGGGATTCCCCTCTGAAGTCTGGAAGCACAGAACATGCCATGGAGTGGAAGAGCCTTTATTGAAGGAAAAAAGCTTTATCTTTGCTTTTTTTCTTGCTTGTCTCGGGCTAAAACAGTGAGAGTTTTGCTCTATGAAAGCCTTTAGAGGGCCTTGGCTCTGAATAATAATCACTGATAAATGAAGCCATGGATGTTTTGGTGCCTCCTTAGCTCCGTTCATCTCCAATCAGATAAAAACCATCCTGGTTTTTATCCAGCCATGGATCCATCCTGGCTGTGCAGGTGTGTGCCCAGCAGGGACTCGAGGAGCATTTTAGCCATTATATGAACACCTGAACTACTGCTTGATGTCCTAATCGTCCCGGATTGCTTCAGCTTTAATGGCCTGTTAGAAAATAGCTGTTATGATGCGTGATGAGGGAGAAGTCGTCTCGCAATTTTCATGGTGTATCCTTAATAGCTTGAGCTTGATGAGAAGTCAGTGGTAGCTTGATTGTATTCCTGTCGAGGAGCAAACGTTACAGAAAGCTGCTGGGACTGTCAAAAAATTTCTCTGGCTTTAGTGAATTTTATGTGACATAAATCATCCTTAATAAGCTTACATCCAAGTGCTCTGTAATTGTGTGGCTTCCTCTTAATTATACCTGTGTTGTGTTTTGCAGATAAGCACTTTCTGAGGACTGAAGGACCTGCTAAAGGGAACACCTGCTTTTGAGGTAGGAACAGCTTTTCTACTGACACAACACTACATCTTTTAATTAAAAGCAAAGGTTTGATACAGCTGTGTGTACATGCTAAAGCTTCGTCTCTTGTGGAAAATACAGCCACTGTCTGGAGTTCTGAAATGCAAGAATCTCCCATCAGATTTCAAGGCAGAGCCTGAACGCTGGGCTACGGCAAGTGGAGTGATAAATGGGCTCTGGGAGAGTCTGAGTGTCTTTAAAAGGCATTATATGGGAGCTCCATGCTGGAACTTCTGCAGAATAAACATTTCTGGAAGGCACTTACCTTTCAGTTCTTTTATGTTAAACACTTAACTGCTTTTTTGGGGGTATTTATTAAAGTATCTAATTCTCCCTTGCTGCTGGTAAAGATGGCAGGGCTGGAGTGGGACTTGAGGGATGCCCTTTCTGGCCAGTTGGACCTTCTTTCTTGCTTTTTCTGCCACAGAGGGCAGACAGCTTGTTCAACTTGGTCACTCAAAGCTTTTTATCAGCATAAGAGGACTAGAAAAGATTAAAATGGGCAAACTAGGCTAAGAAAAAAACCCCAAGTCTGATTTGATTTGTTAGGAATCTGGAGCAGTGGCTCATCCAGGTTTCTCATCCTGCTCTTGCTTTGTGGAAGGCACCAGAAAGCTACGCTTCCACTGGGAACTATTGTCAGAGATTAATTCAGATGCAGGTGCTCATGTAATGTGTTTTAGTGAAGGAATTACAATTTCTTCAGGGTATTTGTATGGACTGAGGGACAGGAGTGCCTTGCACCTTGCAGTTTGATTAGTGTGGCAGTGATTGTTCTCAAATGCTGCCAATTTCTTCAAGTCCTGGGAGCAGTGTCAGCCTGTTTATTCTACTAATTAATACTTTCTTCTGCCTTAACCTTAAGGTAGCCTAGAACTAGAGCGAAACACGGCACAGACTTGTACAAAAATGACTAAGCTCTTAATTAATATCAGTCTGTTGGTACCATCCTTGGCTGTAACGAATGCAGAGGAGTTGAATGGACGTGGTTCAATTACAGCTTGTCTTAACATCATCAACTGCATCTGCTGTGATTTACTGAAGCCGTCTGGAACCAGCAGTAGCCTCCCAGGTCTCCTAAAGCTTTGTTAGGGGTCACCATAGGTGCCAAGTTGTGTCTTTCCAGTGGGGCTGATGCTCTCGTGCACCCATGGGAGGTGACTGGGAGCAGCCTGGGTCAGGGGCAGCCACACCAGTTGTTTATACTGGGTGCCGTGGCCACCTGCCAAACCATCTTAAGTCCTTCTCTGAAAGCCGTTTGACTAAAAGCCAAGTAAGATGGCTTATCTCCCCCGGGTGGGATGGAGGGTGGGGAGGTGCCCAGGATGCCCTGTGTGCTTTTCACTCTGGCCTCACTGGAGCTAAAGAGGTCGTGAGAGGTGTCACCTACTGCAGGCACGATGTGCAGCTCAGCAGAGGAGATAACAGAGGAGTTTAGGTGCCCTTTCCACACGTTCTGGTTCTTAAACTTCTTTTTCTTCCCTTTCCACTTCACTTCACTTTGACCAGTGTGGACTTAATGTCTCCTTGGGTGTCTGGAACTGAACTCACGCTTTCATTTGTGTTGTAACCTCCCAGATTGTCTAAGAGGGGGGGGAGTTTGCAGATTATAATGTTCCTCTCTTCTTTTCTCCACTGTACAAAAATGAGTTAGGATGTAAGCTGCCTCTTGGAGTCCCAGGGATGCCTGGAGTTGTCCAACGTTTCTTGTTCCGTCGTTTCAGGACATGGAAACCAAACAGGTGTTTCCCACAGACTCTATTCAGCAGCTAAAAATGCTTCCTGAAGTAATTTATCCGGGAACATTTAATCCATGCTCATTGACTGCCTCAATGAATAAAGGCAATTTCCTCCCCAACATCCTTTGGAGGAGCTGGGGAGAGCGGGCAGGAAGGAGGGAGCGTTGGTCCGAGCCTGGCTTTGGTGGCTGGATCTCGTGGGGTGACCTGATTGAGGAATATCTTGGGTGGTTTTTACAAAACCAAACCTCTCTTCATCTCACATTGTCTCTCAGAAATAAATGGGTTCTTCCTATTTATTCTGTTAAGAGGCTTTTAAACCAAATAAATTACATTTTTGGTCATCTTCCTGGTGTTCTTAAACTAGAAATAATCGACTACAGCTCTTGTGGCACCTAGAACTACATTTGGTTATTGTGTTGGCTACATGTGTGCAGGAGGGGAGAAAGTACTTCTAAAAACACTTCCTGATGGAATAATGTGTATTTTTTTTGGTATAACTGCTTTAGCTGGGAAGAAACATGCACAAACCCCAACTCTAGGATCACTTTCATGGATGAAAAGTGAAGTGGATTGGGGTTGCTGCTGCTGTAATTGCCGTAGGAGCCGAGGAGCTGTGTGACTCCGGCTCTGCCTGCGGAGAATTCCTTTCGGATAAGGCAAGTGGGTAAGAAAACTCCCTCTGCCCATGTGCTCGTGATTCCTTGTCCTCCCAGAGGCTTTTGCTGTTTGCTGGAGGGAGGGGCTGGTATGTTATCACCCCCCCTTCTCCAAGGGAGCTGAGGAAACATGTGCTGACCTTCCGGGCTGGGAATGCCGAGACCGAACCAAGGAGGTTTAGCCCTTGAAGTAAGAGAGAACCCTTGGGAAGGTGCTGATGCTGCCACGGCACTGACCACGGCTCTCTTCAAGGAAGTAAATCCATGCGTGCAAAACCCTTTCTTTTAATTCAAAACCATGTAAAAAGTGGGGCTTTTAGTACCGTGATAAACAACTATGTGTTTGGTGCCTTTTATCTTTCCGTTTTTGGAAGGGAAACAGCCCGTGTCAAAGGGCACAGAGCTGCGATACTGGAGATTGCAGCCAAACCTGCAATAAGGAAGTGAATCATTCTCTAAAGAAACCCACAGACCGTACCTGATAACAGCGTGGGGAGACCTGAGAAATTTCTTTTATTGCTCTTTCTTTCGCAAAAGCTCAGCTTTTTGTTTTCTAAACCAATGCCTTGTTTTTCAGCTATAGTTTGACTGTATTTGTTATCGAGAGTACGGAAATATAAATACAATAGTGGTTGAGCTGCAGTAGCTACTCCCTTCCTCCTCCGCTGGCTTCCTGCATACGTTTTGGAAGGTGGAAACCATTCTTCTGCATTAATTCATTTCAGAAATGAGTGTTCTTCTCCCCTGTTGCCACCCCATTGGACTTCAAAAACCAAAGGGTATGAGCGAAGAGGAATTGTTACTCCCACGTGCCTTCCTTGAGACTGAGAAGCCTTTTGCTGTGGCTCCTCTCAGTGTTTTCTCATGCTCCAGCCCAATGCAAGCACTGACCAACAGGACATTTTGGGGTTTCTCCAAAAAAAAAAAAGGGGGGAGAGAGGGAACCTGATTGGACAGAGAGGAACCTGATAAAATTCAACAAGGGCAAGTGTAGGCTCCTGCACCTGGGGAGGAGGAACCCCCTGCACCAGGACAGGTTGGGGTGACCTGCTGGAGAGCAGCTCTGAGGAGAAACACTTGGGAGTCCTGGGGGACACCAGGATGCCCAGGAGCCAGCAATGGGCCCTGGTGGCCCAAGAAGGCCAGTGGCATCCTGAGGGGCATCAAGGAGAGTGTGACCAGCAAGTGGAGGGAGGTCATCCTGCCCCTCTGCTCTGCCCTGGGGAGGCCCCATCTGGAGCACTGGGACCAGTTCTGGGCTCCCCAGTTCCAGAAGGACAGGGAACTGCTGGAGAGGGTCCAGCAAAGGGCTACAGAGATGCTGAGGGGCCTGGAGCATCTCTCTGCTGAGGAAAGGCTGAAGGACTTGGGTCTGTTTAGTCTGGAGAAGAACAGACCAAGGGGGGATTTCATCAATACCTCTACTTGAAGGGTGGGTGTCAGGAGGATGGGGCCAGTCTTTTTCCAGTGGTGCCCAGGGACAGGACAAGAGGAAACTGGAACAGGGGAAGTTCCACCAAAAGATGAGGAGGAACTTGTTTGCTGTGAGGGTGGTAGAGCCCTGGCAGAAGCTGCACAGGGAGGTGGTGGAGTCTCCTTCTCTGGAGACATTCAAACCCCACCTGGACACGTTCTTGTGGGACCTGCTCTGGGTGGGGTTGGAGGAGATGATCTCCAGAGGTCCCTTCCAACCCCATATCATTCTGGGATTCCGTGACTTAAGTTTGCAGTGATTTTTTGAGAGTTGTTTCCTACATGTAGTTCTGCTCGTTCCAGGTGGGTCACTGGTAGCTAACGTTGGGTGCTTTCTCAGGAGGCCAGGGATTTGGTCATTAAAACCAGCTCAAGAGAATGGGAAAGGCTCAAAAGGTAGAATTTGTTCTTTTTGTTAGCTCAGGAGGAATTAGGTTCAGCTCTCTGGAGGGTGGAAGCAGTTAAATTGACCTCAGACCTTGGCCGTCATGTGCTTTTTTTTTTTTTTTACAAAGTCTGTCATGAACTTTGTATGGCAGTAACAACTTCGTGGTGGAGAGTTATTTATCTTGGGTTACCCGGGTCTTTCTTGCATAACCTGCTGCTTTTAATGCCATTAATGTGTCTCTACCCGCGCTAATGCCGCTCCCCTCTCCCAACCCAGGAGTTCTGTGATGCTCTTATGGCTCGTGGCCAACGGCATGACCCAACTTAGCTAAATAAAAATCCCTGGGATCCTCTCTAAGAATAAACATCACGTGAGAGCAGGAGTGTTCCCCTGCTTTGAGAGAATTAAAATGCCGTGCTGGGAGGGAATAACAGGAGCTTAAGGGCTGGGCTGGCGTCCCCCCTCTGCCCAAAAGGGCTGAGCTGCGGGTCCCGAGGAAGCAGAAGGCTCTGGCACGTAACCTTTAGCTTTCCTTGCCGTTGGGTTTGGCCGCCTGGGATGACACAGTGCTTTCAGAATGTCCTGTTTTTATAATTCAAGAATCTGATAAATACCCTTATGAAGGAGAACGTGAGCGTCCTTGCTCAACTTCTCATCCAGCAGCGTTTCATATCAGGCCTTGGCCAACAGCCTGGATGCTTTTTAATGTGCTAT